TGCTCTCTCCGAGGACACATCTCTCCTCGGGGTCCTGCCCTGGCCCCTCCCGGTCCCCAGAGTGTCTTCTTCACCCTCGTCTTCCCTTCCCCCTGCACCCCAGCAAAGCGCTGGGGGGCAGAGATTGGGGTGAATGCCCCCCTCTCGGGGGATGGATACGAAGCTCTCCCAATTGGGGTGAGGAGAAGGCATCCCATGCGCGGGCTGAGCTCAGGCACAGCAGCCCCCCCACCAGCGCGGTGCGCTCCCCCTGGCTCTGGTCTGGGGGGGGGGGGGGGATGATGCACTGGGCTGACTCTGTTCCGTGGTGGAGCCCAGGCATTGGCATTGAACGGCAGGGCACACAAGTGGCAACTGAGACTTGGTAACTTGAGCCAGGCTTCTGAATAGGTTGTGGAGCTTACAAAAGTCCCTATTAAAAAAAAGTAGCTATAAAGGGACAGGATCTAAGGACCTGCCGCAAAGCCCACTGTCATCCAGGGGATCTTCCTGTTCATTTCAATGGGGTTTGGATCATCAGATGATTTTTTTGAGGAAACCCCCCTTTACTTAGGTAGTGTGGACAGTCTGGTGCTGCTATTTTGAAGTAACTACACCCCAAAGTAACTGGAACTACTTACTCCCCAGTGCATCCTGGGGCACTAAGTACAAGTTAGCGCATCCATTAAGGCTAAGTCTAAACGACGGGTTTTTTCCGGGATACCTCTATCCCAGAAAAACCTTGCTGTGTCCAGGGAGTGCATTTGCTCTTCTGCTTTTTTCATGGAAGAGCAAACACACTCTTTTGGGGAGCCCTGTATACCTCATTCCCCAAGTGATAAGGGCTCCACTGAAACAGGAGGCTTTTCCACCATATGGCCCCATCTAGACTGGGCCAAATGGTGGAAAAGCCTCTTCCAGAAAAGCAATCGGAAAAAGCTATGCAAATTGCGCTCTGTGATTCGTGTAGCTTTTTCCCGATAAAGCCCCACAGTCTAGACCAGTGTTTCTCAATCTTTTTTTATAAAGTACCCCTTTAAAAAAATTATAAGTACCCCCAGCACCTACAGTTTTCAGACACACATTTTTTTTTCTACCATTGCAACACATTTGTTTAAACAAATTAATTGTTGCTGGGCAGGCGACGACATTTTTGGGTGTAAAAAGTATAAAAATATTAAAGCGCTGTAAAACTTAAAACAAAAATTCAGTTTTCTCCAAATTTCAGTTGTGTTGATGTACCCCCCAGACTTCTCTCGAGTACCGCTAAGGATACTCATACCACTGGTTGAGAAACACTGGTCTGGACCTAGCCTAACGGAGTCTGCCTCAGACTAATTTGGAGACATCCCCCATAGTGGGGACACACTAGTTCGGGAGCTTTTAAGTCAAATTTACTAATTTTGAAATAATTTCCTAAAGTAGAGATGGCCTAAGGTGCCACAGGACTAGTCATTGTTTTTAAAATTACAGAATAACAGGGCTACCTCTCTAAGGCTATGTCTAGACAGCTGCTTTTTATCAGAAAAAGGTATGCAAATTGTGGAGCGCAATTTGCGTACCTTTTTCTGATTGTTTTTTCGGAAGAGGCTTTTCAGAAATTTGTCCCACCCACACTGGGCCAAATTTTGGAAAAACCTCCTCTTTTGGAAGAACCCTTCCTCGTGAAATGAGGAAGACAGGGCTTCTGAAGGAGCGCAACTGCTTGTCTGCAAAATATTTTGGAAGAGCAGATGCGTTCCCTGGAAGCGGCGGAGTTTTTCCAGGATATCTCTGGTATCCCAGAAAAACTCCATAGTCTAGACATAGCCTGAGATTCCTTAGTATTGGTGCTCCTATGAAAGGCCATGATGAATGCACAACCCAGAAAGAACAGAAAAGATTTTTTTCCCTTCATTTTGTTTGATGTGAAACTCCTTGATTTTCAATTCGCACTTGGTGGGACATGCTGAGATTATTTTTAACACACTCTTGTTAATTTGGTGGTACCTTCATTTGTTCAAATGGCATGGACAGTATCACTTTGGAAAACATATTGTGCACAGCAGTGTCAGAAATCACCACAGGAGCTCTGGTTTTTTATGGCATACTCCTAACAGAGAGACTTTTAACTGATTCTTAACTTGTAAAGATATTTATTAGTCTTGAAAGTGTTTAGTTACAAAACAAATTAATTTTTTACAGATGCTTTATCACAAATTTAGATATTCTTGATACTTTCAGCATATCTGATGGATTTTTAAAAGATTCCAACACAGTTTCATTCTCAGTTCAAAGAGTGCAATCATTTTCAATAAAGAATCCACTGTTTATTAATTTGATCGTATAAAGCCTTAATTCTCCTAAGTTCTCAAAGATCACAAAGCATTTCATATGGTTATGAAATATATTCTGGTTCATGACTTGTGTATATTTTTCAGTTCTGATCATTGTACATTAGGCATAGGTTGAAAATCATTCTGGTAGCAATTTGCTTAGTTAAACTGCCATTAGTCTGTTCTAGTTTGTACTTGGATTCTTGTACTTGATGAACAAGAACAGTTAATGTCCTCATTACTGAACTTTTTTCCCCAAATTGAATTTTTAATCTCTTACTGTCAAGTTAATTTATAATTGATTTCCAATAAAATGCAAAAATGGATAGTGTTCCTCCTTGCACTTTTTTATGCATAGACAATTAAGAACATAAATTATTTAAATATTATAAAATATTTCTATTTTCCATTCTGAAAGTTATGTGTTTTGAATATAGAGAACATTGAAGTGTGTGTAAAAATAAGCATATTAATTTATATACTTTTTATGCATATTAATTTATATACTTTTTTCTGTTTTCTAAGCAAACTAGTGTCGTACTTAGCACAAGAAAAAAAGTCAGATTTTCTAGAATGCCTTTACTTTTCCATGTTCAAAACATTTTCTGAGAGCTACATATAACATTAAGTATAGCATATCAAGTCAAAGAACTGGACAATCTTACACAAGTTGCATTTAATCCTTATATAGACAAATACATATAATGAACTGGACAATCTTAGACAAGTTGCATTTAATCCTTATATAGACAGATACATATAATTAAAATATATTTTTAGGGCTAACCGTCCAGAAGTACATTGCTTTAACAATCTGGAGACATGACAACCACATATTGTTGCTAACCAATTTGGTGTTGGCAAATCAGCTGTGCATGTGTGTGTGTGGGGAAGGATGGGGGTGGGGGGGAGAGGCAGGATTTCTGAGCTGTCTGATTTATTCAAAGGTTGTGGACATAAAATATGTCCATGAAGGTTTTTGAACTGCGCCAACGCCACTGATGGGACACTTGCCCATAGTTTGCCTTCCTCAAAGAGCACCTTAGTACATGACCCATAAATGGTACTACACTCCATTGTTACACAGGAACTTCTTGATAAGAGAGGCCTGTTTTTAGAAGGCAGAATAGGCTGAACTGAAAAAAATTCATGCTGCCAGAGTGTTCTGATTATTGGGAGTGTATATTCATGGACAGATTGGGACACTATCACCACCAAATGACATTGTCATAAATGGAGTTTTGTCCACACCATAGTTTCAGGGGACTCCAGCTATACCCTTTTGCCTTTGCTTATGCAGTTGTACCCTGATGAATGATGATTGTGCTTTTGGCAAATTGAAAGCCCACTGGCACTGTTGATAGAAATGTTTGGATTCCAACGTCATCAATATTGTCTGCACTGTTGTGGCTTGCTGCAGACTGCACAACTGTTGTGACTCCAAAGGTGAGACATTGCTCTTGAGTGTATTTGTGATAGTAATGGAATGCAGAACTGTACACACAGCCAAAAAAGCACATCTGTCAGAGCTTTGTGCACCCACATGCTGGCCTTGCATGAACAATGGACGAGGTTTGTTGATGAATCTATTTATACAGCAATGTTCACAGTAAATTAAGTACTCTTAGTATGTGATGCAAATGGGGGGAATTATTGATTTGTGTGACATGAACTATGAACTTTCATTATGGACTGATCTGAAAATATGTATTGAGAAATTGCGTTAGGATATAACTTTCTAGATATGCCTTATTATGTCTATATCTTTATTCTTTAAATACACTCCATTGTTATACAGGACCTTGTTGATCGCAGAGGCCAGTTTTTATACACATAGGCTACGTCTAGACTGGCATGATTTTCCGCAAATGCTTTCAACGGAAAAGTTTTTCCGTTAAATGCATTTGCGGAAAAGAGCATCTAGATTGGCACGGACACTTTTCCGCAAAAGCACTTTTTGCGGAAAAGCGTCCGTGCCAATCTAGACGCCGTTTTGCGCAAGAAAGCCCCGATCGCCATTTTCGCAAAAGCATTTGCGCAAGAGGGCTTTTGCCCGAACAGAAGCAGCATAGCATTTCCGCAAGAACACTGATAATCCTGAGATCACATGAGATCGTCAGTGTGCTTGCAGAAATTCAAGCGACCAGTGTAGACAGCTGGCAAGTTTTTCTGCAAAAGCAGTTGCTTTTGCGGAAAAACTTGCCAGTCTAGACGCAGCCATATTGTATATGATATGATGCAGTGAAGGTAATGGACTTTCTTAATGACATAAATGTTAACATGGCTGTATTACAAAAAACAAAGAAAACAATATTAAAGAATTGTCTGCTCAGGCCAGCTGCCATTAAAACACCAAAACTAGTAATAAAACAAAGCACATAAACATCTAACTTTCTCTTTCCACCGTATTTAGCAGGCACTTGGCACTATATGAGAGTGAAAGACTCCAGGGGCTAGAGGACTGCAGGGAGTATATGTATCCTGTCCAATTAGCATTCAATCCTGGTTTCAGGGGCCACCCAACCATAGTATTTGTCAGTGTGTTCCTGCTGTGTGGAGAAGTACTGTGGAAGGAACTCAGGATATAGTGCAATAACCTAAACTATCATGGCCATTACTGCAAGCAGCATACATATCGTTCTGCTCTCTCTTCCGTCTTCGGTCACCATTTCTTGTCTAGAAACTGCATTGCAAGTTTCTCCTGCACTCTGAAGCCTGTCTGGGCCTTTTCCCTTTTTGTAAATCTTTCCCCCTTTGGTATTGTACCTGCTTGTTGGCCTCATCCAGGATATTCACCACAAGTTCATCATGGACAAGCTTCCTTTTGGGCTGCTCTAAGACAGTTCAAAAACCCTGGTTCTTGCTAAATTGTGGCTGGGCTACAGAGGTGGAAAGGCCTGAAAATAGACATCCAACAGTCCATTATTGCCTCAGTACTTCAATAAAGGTTAATTACATCCTTAGAAAAAATTACCTTTCAAATCCCAAGGCAAAAAAAAAAAAGATGCCTTGTAAAACTCAGCTTCAATATACTCTCAGAGCAACGCTTACAGTCTCAAGTGCTCCATGCATATAGCGTAGTTAAACAGAGTGAAAAGGCTGCACTAAGAATGATATGGTGAAATTTATAAATGTTATCTGTTTAAAAGTCATAGACCATTTTCATTTTGGTATCTGTATGTGTGCTGGGGTTTGCTTCCTAAGCGTTCTCACTCTTTTCAGGTGTTCCACATTCTGGAGGACAACAATCCTAGACGTTCCTGCATGACAAAGGAACATTATTTTCCAAGCTGCTGATTGGAAGCCAGCTAGCTGTGTATGCCAGAGAGGTTTTCAAGCTTATGATGACCGAGCAACACATTTACAGGTACAAGGAAGTTGGAGTCGGAGTCCAGGCATGGCACAAAGGGGACTGAGGAAATCAGAGAAATGACCTTTGTGTCTGCTCTTCTGATATATAAAGTTTTGCATCACAAGAATTACACTACAGGTTGAATCTCTCTGGTCTGGGATTCTCTGATCTGGTAACATCTGTGGTCTGGCAGGACCATTGATGTTGCTGGACCAGAATGCCCCTGGACCAGAGAGCCCCATCTTGGGGCAGCAGAGTCCTGGTGCCCTGGGGCAGCCTCAGGGCTGTGGAATGCCAGTGGTCCTGCGACTGGCCATGGAGTTCCAGCAGCCCCAGAGCAGCTGAGCCATAGTGGCCCCAGGACAGTGGAGTCATGGCGGCACCAGAGCAGCCGAGCCTTGGTGGCTCCAGTGGTCCCGGAGCAGATGAACCCCAATGGCCCCAAAGCAGATGAGCCCCAGAGGCCCTGGGTCAGCAGAGCCCCAGCAGCCCTGGGGCTGTGGAGTTTGGCAGACTTGGGGCAGTGGAGCCCTAGCACCCGGGGAGCCTGTGATTTGCTGACAGACCCCAGGAAAGCCCAGACTCTGTCAGCAGAGGGGCCTACTTCCCTTGGTCAGGCAAACTCCCTCATTCAGAACCAGTCAGGTCCTGAGGGTGCTGGACCAGAGATGTCCAACCTGTATTAGTGAAGTGAGTTTGTGTTCTATACAGGAGGGCCTGAAAAATACATCCTTCCCACAAATGTGAGTACCTATCTTAAGTTCCTACTGTGGACATAGTTTTCAGCTATGAGCACCTGTGACTGGGTCAGAATTCATGGGACAATTCAGCTAGATGCTGCACTAGAGTCTACATGGATTACTGCCTCTGTGTAATCTGCTGAAAACGGGGTGCAGCTAGAACTTACTTTGCAGCCCGCTCTGACTATATTTTCCTGTGGACTACACGCAAACATACGTGACATTGTGGACTCTCAAAGAACTGCATAGGTACATTTCTGGTCTGCACAAACCAAACTCTCTAAAATACAGTAAGAATTTAGTTATCCACATGTTACATTGCACCCCTCTCCTGTGCAGCAGATGATTCATTATGCTGTGGCATGGCCAATTTGCATGACATGGTGTACTAAACCGGCAGCACCACATCTTTGTAAACATGTACAAGTATCTAGTAAAAGTTTAATGTTAAATGCTTATTTAACTGCTACCCATGGCTTGTAATAAAAAAATGCAATGTGTCATAAATTAGAAATCCCTCCCATTCATATACAGGTAACCCCCAACTTATGACTGCCTGATTTACCACCCCCACATTTACGACTGCCTTGCTCCAGCTGTTGCCTTCCCCTAGCACAGCTCCCAGCTTGCTCTGGGAGCAGCTCATGCCTCGCCGCCTTCCCCCGGTACAGCCTCCAGCTGGCTCTTGGAATAGCTCATGCCGTGGACTACAGCTCTCAGGAGGCAAAGCGGGCCAGGAACGGAACCCCTTTTTTATTATTGCACCTATGGGAAAAAAGGGTTCAACTTACGATGGCTCGACTTATGATGGTTCTCCAGGAACCAATTAAGTTGTAAGTGCTGGGGTCACCTGTACTAAAAAACAATAGCCATGGAGCCAAATGCATAGCAGGCTCCAGGCTATTTCTGTATCATCTGCCAGTTCTGAGGCAGACTGATCATCCAGGCTGAGGGCATCAAACAGCTCCTCTGGGTATGGGACCAGGATGAATAGCAGCTGCTGTGATGGCAAAGCCTGCTGAGGGACAACAAGGGGCACCAGAGCCACTTAAATTGGGAGCTGCTTGGTTGCTGGTAGAGCTATACTAGATCTGGGGATTGGGAGGTTGCCATGCTTGTTGACTGGACTATTGTACCCAGCACACAATCCAAGTCCTTATAAAGGGGAAGGAAGATAAGGAGTTCCCAGAAGTGCGGTTCTCACTTGTGACTTTCCAGTTCTTGCTCTTGAGCTGCTTAATCTGCTCCCTGCACTGGTGACTGGTTCATTTAATCATCAGTGCTTCTAGACTGTCTGCTGCTTTTTTGTACATGTGGTTATTTCTTAGTGCTCTTACTGAAGATGAGCATCTTGATCACCTAGCACCAGAGATTTACAAGGATTGGATTGTGGTGCCATTACCGGGTAGCAGCATGGATCACTCCTTGTTGGTGGCTATAGCTTATCTGGGAGATAGTTCACTTTGTAGTTTGGTGGTCAGAATAAAATGGAAGAGTTAAATGCTAAACAACTGTATTTGAACTCAGGGATTTGCTTCCCTCTCCTTGGAGCCAATTGGCTAAGTCTTGGGATAGAAAGGCTAAGGAATGCAGACCAGTGGAATTGTGGGATAGTATTCGTAGACTCTCAGGACATGAGTCTAGGCATTCAAGCCCAAACATCCACCTTGCACAATTATGTCATTTAGACTTAGCGGGACTCGGCTCAGATCCTGCCCTCCAGATCCTGGGTCCTGGAGGATGTACTGAGCCGAGTCAGACAGATTTACATATAGATGGAAAGTGAGGGTTGGCTTGAGTTAGAGTCTTACACTCTCATCATAGAAATACCTTACAGCCAATATATAGTTCTTACTGATGTTAATGGTAGGTATGAATATGCACAGAGGGGAAGACGAGAAATCAGTTTAGAACGCCTAGTTTTAATAGGAGTAGAGATTGAGTCTTAACTTTGTTTTAGACTCAGGAAGTCCAACTTCAGTTCTGTGCTCTGCCACATATTTTCTGTGTGACGTGATCAGGGCTGGAATTGGTGCCCCGCTGATGTATTGAGTGTTTTGCCACTGAATTCAACAGAGCATAGGTTCTGGAACTACTGTGTATGGGGATGCCGTAGCACACCCTGGCTTGAATTGGTTTCCATCATCTACAGGGTTTATAGTTTGGTTCAATGGCTCTCAGCGCCCCCACTGTACAAATTTTTCCAGCACCCTTGCACAGAGTCAATATTTCATCACATGTAAGATGGAAATAAAAGTGTTTCCCTTTTTATACCCTTTGTATGTCTTGTCTGGTTAGAGTGCAAGCTTTTTGGGCAGTGTGTCAGGGGACTGAGTCATAGACAGTTAGTTCTGGAGGTCACAATCTGAATGCCAGAGCCCAAGGTCAAAGCAGAGTCAGAGGTGGAGGTCAGATTTAGGTCATAGTCCTAATGCCACATAGTCCCGAAAAAAAATTAATGTTCCTTAGTAAGATCTTAGAGAAATTAGTGAAGTGAACAATTCTGATGACTGGACATGTTGGAGCTATCTTGTCCTCAGTCCTGTGAAGCCATAAGTTTTGTTGTTGGGAAGAGGTTGTTTATTCAAGGAGATTCCTTCTTTGTTTATTGAGGGGATTAATTTGGAAATATTGAATCAGAATAAGAGTCCTAACATTGCTCTCGGACGTGTCCTTTCAATGGAAAATCGTGAGCCTGAATTGGAAGTGAGATGAAAGCTTTTCATTTTTTCGAGCTGGTTGACCTCACAATTTCATCACATGCCCTTCTGTCCAAGAAGCTTGATTATTGCATTTCCCTCTTCATGAGGCTCTCTGTAAGGCTGTTTCATTACTTGCAGCTTGTTCAGAATGCAGTGGGAGGATTACTCATTGGTTCAAGCAGTTATGATTATTCTTATACCCTACCTGTACTTGTACGGTTGACTGCCAGTAATTGGCACATTTATATTAGGTCTACTGTTTGCTTTTTAAATGCTATAGAAGTGTTGACACTGGCTGGACATTTGCTCTTTGAACTTTCTTATAGCCATTATCTGAGCTCCCAAAATGGATGTTGGCTCTAACTAGTTGGGCATCTAAAGACCTGGGATCAATCCCCAGCTCCACTAGAAATTTCTCATGGGACTAGAACCTGGGGAGTTTAGTCAGCACCATAGCACCACCCCCAATTTCAAACAGTGATTTCTAAAGCCAGAAATGTCTGCTATTTTGGCATCCAGGAAACAATTTCACCATTCACACTAATACAGGTGTTCATGTGTAGTGTATCAATGTGTTATTAAATAATAACTGAATAAAATAATATTAAATAAATAATTAAAAACAACATCCATGTTTTGATTGTTTTTTATTTGGACCTCAAGTGTGTAGTCGGCCCCCGAACTGCTGTTTGATAGTTAATGCGGCCCTCGGGCTGAAAAGTTTGGAGACCCCTGATATAGGTGGATGAAGTGCAGGTCAATGAATGTTATAGTTTCAGATGTCAAGAGTGAAGGGTAGATCTCAGCTGCTAAAACTGGCATAGCTCCACTGATTTTCATGTGGATGCAGGGTGGTCCAGTGGGTGGCCAGTGAAAGATTTTATTCTTGGCTCTTTCATTGACCTGTTGTTTTTATTTGGAAAGACCATGTCACTTCTCCATGCTTCTATTCCCCTCTTATCTTTTGTGTGTCTTTACAACTTAGATCAAAAGTTTTTCAGCACAGAGATTCTATCTCACTGTGTGTTTATTTAATGGAGCTGGTATCTGTAGGTGCTACTATAGCACAGATAAGGGCTTGTTTACACAAATACTTAGTTCACAGTAAGCTGGGATGTACATACTGAGTAATCTGCCATACACTAAATGGTTTTCAAAGAACAGGTTGCAGCCTAGTACTGGGCTGTGGAATGTCAGGCACTAGGTCATCTTGCTGTAGGGCAGGGGTGGGCAATAATTTTCAAAAGGGGGCCACTTCATAAATTTCTGAAGTGGCCCCAGGTGTCCCTGGAAGGGGTGGGGCCTTGGGTAAAAGGGGCGTGGCCAGAAGACTTTTCTGCTCCCCCACCCACAGACTCTGATTGGCCTGGGGGTGGGGGAGCAAGTGAAGTCTTCCCCTCCATCCGCCCCCAGCACCTATAGAAAATCACCAGCTGTTATAAAACAGCTGGTTGCTCCCTCTAGCCGCAGCAGCAGGAGGAGACCTTGCGTGCTACCCCCACCCCCAGGTCAATCAGGGCCTGAGGACAGGGGGGAACGTGAAAAGTCTTTCACCCCCTGCCCCACCCTGCCA